ACTTATATTATAAATGTGAATATGAATTCGTATGTTTGTTTGTTTGCTACCATTTCACACCTTAATTACCCAAACGATTGTTACGAAATTTTGTTCATACATTATCAGGCGTACAGAAAACGTCATAGGATAGCTACCTCTCTTTTATGCAGAAAGATAGAAAAATTAGTTTTATGTGGTCGTCGATGATCTTTGGCACGTATTTAGGCCATAATTCTAAGGCCGAATACTCTACCTTTACATACAATAATTTAAAAAAAAATTATTGTATATATTTTTGTTTTATCTTTTTCACTCATTACAGTAGATGTTTATACATAAAGAATTAATCAGCCATTGCAGGCGAGGCAGCAGAGGGGGTATAAGCCCCCAAGCGGGAAACCAAGGAAGAAGTAACCTTCCAGGTGTAATTGTAAAAAAGAAATAATAACTCGACTCATATTATTCAAAGAGAAAAACAATACGTCTTAGGTATATATTGACATTTGAGGGTCGCTCAAAGTGTTGAAATAAAAATTTTCAAAATTATTGAGCGACTTTTAAAAATTCATATTGTGAGTTGAAATTTTAAGATGCTAAGTAATTTTTCATAGGCATCTACTGTAATGAGAAAAAAGGGGAAAAGTAATTAATTTTTCACACCACGCAAATATTTTTAATGGAATACATACATACATTAGAGGAATATTTACAAGTTTTTGTAAACTTTCACTTTACTGGCACTTTTTTTGTTTTCTGGTAAAATATAAGATTAAAAGAATGTAAGGATATGCAGGCTGTTAAAAATCCATCATATTCGCTAAATATCATCGAAATGAACGCAAAATTTATAAGAAAAAAGTTAATTGTTTTGTAAATTTTTTTTAGAATTTCGCCCTGTTTTCAATACCTATATATAGCAAACACGATTTTTTCTTTATCATCCTGTATATTATTTTAACAAAATGTAAACATTTGAAAACAATGTATCTAGTTAAATCATCATTTCTTACCGATTTCATTTCTCTTTTCAATCCTACAGAAACGAAATTTTTGGTTGGTCCCCACGAACCCGGAATAAATAAAAACCCAAAGGAAATCTTCCACAAGGCGTACATATTTATGCTATTAGTACCGAGCCATAATCCAGTTACGCACTATTATAGGATTAGAAAACGAATGCAACGAACTGAAAGGGATCTGCCACAACCAGATCAGTATTCTCACGAAAATAAACACGAAAGAAGATCAAAATCGATCTTTCTTTTTCACTTGATTGCGCTTTTCTTTCAACTAGCCCCTAAATTTAGTTATTTTTATCTAAGTTTTAACGAACGGAAAAACAAAAAAAGTTGTCCCAATATTCTTAGTGTTAAGTCAAAAGGTAATTAAAACCACAATTTTATAAAAAAATAATTTTTAATTATACTCTTTTCTAATTTTAAGACAAAAGGCGCCATCTATCGAATTAAATCAGTCAATAAATCATTACTACATATAATCATACGTCTATATTAGGCCTTTTCAAAATTTTTCTTAATCAATATTTTGATCAAAGTTTAGGCTATAAAAAAGGCTAATACCTCTTTTTCTTTTATTAATTATTCATTATGCATTTTTAATTAATTCTCTTCAAATAGTAATGGCACAAACATTTCTTAGGAAAGAACTAGCTGTTCTGTAGATATAGAAAGTGTACAGTGTTTCAAATGTATGAAAGTAATTTAAATAACTAGTTCGAATTAAAAAGAAGCTATAATAATTAAAAGGTTTATCTAAAAAATAAAATAAATTAACGAAAAATTTGTTAACTTACATCGACGCGTCCTCTACAGGATCACTTAGACAACAATCAGATTCATAGAAATGTACTACGAGAAAACTTGACGACCATTGATTCATTTGTTTATCATTTGTTGACGAAAGATCAGATGTCAGTTTAACCTCAACATTATTTTGTATTTGTAAAGAAATGGCATGATTTTTTTATGTAAGAAATGCGGCGAATAGCACCCAAAGTTAAATAATTTGGCAAAAAGTGATTAGTTTAAATTATTGCAAGGTATCGCTTCTTTTATTGTAAAATCTATATGGTTGTTTAGTAATATTTTTCATAATTATATGCATAACAAATAAAACATTTAAAAATGAATAAGGAATATCTTACTGCTGAGCAGTTGATGGGTTTCGAAAATTACAAGGTTAGTAGATTAATGTATTAATTGTTGTCTCTATAATTACAGCAGTATTATTTTTTTATTAATTAGAAATATTCGCCCTTGTAGAACAGTAGTTATTTACAATATTACGTTCATTAATATTACTGTTAATGTTGTTGTCGTTCTAGTAAGTATTTTACCTATTGATATTTTAGTACAGCTGCAAAGACACAAATCCACTCAGCATATATGTTATGCACCCATTTTGGGATAAAGTGGTAGAGGTAAGATAATTAAAATTAGAAAAAATTAACAATTACCTAAATATAAATTATTTTTTAGTACTGTCCCAGGAGTATAGCCCCAAATTTACTGACATTTGTAGGATTTTTATTTACCCTAGTGACATTTTTTATGTTTTCTTATGAAGACTATGAATTTTATGCATCTGCAGTTGAAAAACCAGAAGTGCCACTTATACCTTCATGGGTATTCATTGTAGGTGCTATAAACATCTTTTTAGCATATACTTTAGGTAAATTAATGGATAGCATTTTTCTGTAATTTACTTTTACATTTACTTCTTCAAAAATATTGTCATTTAAGTAAAACTGATTAAAAAGTATACTGTATTTTAGATGGCATTGATGGTAAACAAGCCAGAAGAACAGGAACAAGCAGTCCTTTAGGAGAGCTGTTTGATCATGGATTAGACTCTTATACTGCTGGTTTAATGCCAATAACGTTGTTTTCAATATTTGGTCGTGGTGAAAAACATAGTGTCAATGTATTTAGGATGTATTATATTCTGTGGAATGTACTAGTCAATTTTTACATACCTCATTTTGAGAAATACAATACAGGGATTTTGTTTTTACCCTGGGGATATGACTACTCAATGTGGACTTCTATTTTTATGCTATTCTTTACTGGGGTTTGTATTATTCTGTTAAAAATAGTTGGTCAGTAACTTTTTTATTAATTCTAGGTCTTTGGTCAACAAATGTGGCAGTTTACTGGACCTGGTGGCTTAAATGCAGGTCACTTATTTGAAATTTTAATTTATGTTTCTTCTCTATCAACCACAATCCCAGTGGCAATATTTAATATTCATAAAGCATACAAAAATGGCTATGGTCCTCTACATTCTTTTTCAGAAGCCGCTAGGCCTTCAATACCAATTTTTATATTCTTAATCCTTTCTATTATTTGGGTTCAAAAATCTCCATCAGACATTTTAGAAAAAGACCCCAGAGCTGTCTACTTTCTCACCAGTACAATTTTCTCTAATATATGTGTAAGTTAATATTTTATAGTCTACTTGCTAAACGCCTTCTCTTTTTTATTAATAACAATATTATCTAATTAAGAGTATTTTGTTTTTGTTAGTGTCGTCTTATTGTGGCTCAAATGAGTAATACAAGGAGTGAAATATTCAATAGTTTATTGTATCCTTTTGGAGCTGCAGTATTGCTATCGTTACTATTAAAAAATGACTTAGTGGAATTGGCTTTTGTATATGGTTTATGCTTAATTACCACGCTTGCTCATATCCATTATGGAACATGTTTGGTGAGTTATAAAACTTATTCATTTATTTTAAAAAACCATAACGGAATGATAAGAACTCCCAAACAGCAATTGTGCGCATTTTAACCGTTAAGTTTATCATTTATAATAATAATGCGTAACAGATTAACGCATTAATAATACATTGTTCATTATTAATAACACAAGTCAAGGAAATATAATTCGAGATTGTCTTTAGAAAAAAATAATAAAACATTAACACAGCTAATAATAATAATAATACAGATATGGAATGTAGTGTAAAAGAATATTAGTTTCTTAATCAACTGTTGCATTAATAATTAATGGTAGATGATTCTTCATTAAACTGCTAAAACGTAAAATTTGTCATGTCTATTTTGCAGGTCAGACAAATGTGCAGACACTTCCGAATAAACTGCTTCACAATAAGGGATCACTCTGAATGACTTCTTGCCGACAACGCATGATGATTTTATTTGCATCTTGCGTTGTCCCTCGGTAACTTTATTAACAAATTTGTTATTATCTAATTTCGAACACGTTCGAATTACTTTGCAGCCGTTATTGTTTTTGCCATTTTATAAAAATTTTATTGTCGCGCTTATCCTTTATTTCCTACCTTAAATCTATTATTTATTCTTTTTTTTTTACTAATCAGTTTTCTTACTAATACGTTAAAAATGATGATCTTCGTAGTTTTTCAATGTCCTACATCATGCAAAAAATCTTTATCAAAAAGTGATTTTTTCTCATTTTATTTTAGAATTGAAAGCAACATTAAAAAGTAAATTACGTGATAAAATAGTTATACAATACTATGAAAAGATATTGCATGATGTTGAATTCGCATGGGTAAAAGAGGCCAGTAATAATGATCAGTTTTTCCTTACGATCAACGGTTTTTCGTACATTTTCAATAATTTATTATGCTTAAATTTATTTTCATACTGAGGGAATAATAATATTGTAAATTAATGTGAACATTTTGCACTTTAGAAGAAAACGCCATAAATGTAAGAAAAATTTCAACATGAAATTTTTAGTGTTTTCTGGCACAATCTAGCTCGCAAATTTTTATAAACAAAGAACATTATTTATATAAAAAAATACTTTTCTAAAATTTTCGACAAGCGTAATTGAAAGTGAGACCAGATTTTACGATATCAAATGTTAAATAAATAGATATCTGACTCATTTTGTTGTACACCTACGTTACTAGACTGTGAATATTGTACTAACCACCCGTTTCCAGGAAATATAGAAGTTCATATACAATTTCTGGACATATTCAGATATTTCCTTCACGCTTATGATTCCAAANAAAGTAGAACCACTAACAAAATCTCATTCACCTTACATTCTTTTGTCTATTACTAGAATAAAACTAAAACCGAATGTTCGCCTTTGGGGTACCAAAATATGTAATTTTTTTTATGAAAATCGATAATCATTTAGAAAAAATATTTTCTATATTTTACATTTCTTCTCTCGAAAAGCAATTAACATATGGATCTAAAACTTTAAGGATTTTAATATTTTTATGTCTATCCTCAATGTATGATGAGGTATCCTGCTGGAGACAATTCATAATATAGCTTTTGAGAAACTGTTGAAAGTAGCTAGTTGTAGAGCTGGCCGCGATATTTTAATGTTATTCGGGCAGCAAATTTTTGAAAAATAGGGCGCTTTCGCCCTATTTGCTGCCCCTATTTCGACTTAGAAACGTAACCCCTTCTATTATCTGAACATGTTACCCTAAAATTTGCCCATATTCCGGTGCAGCTCTTAGACTAAGCGATATCTTAAGTATTAACAAAGCCAGTACTTTACTATGTATAATAACAATAAAGGAACACACTCCTATTACATATCCAATATTGTTTTGAGTCGCACTAACAAAAAAGTAGATTTTCTCTGAATAACCGCTAAACTTTTTTATTTCGAATCTTTACCTTGACTATTTTTAATGTGTAACCTTCGTATTTTTCTGTCTTTCTAAAAGTAGAGAAAACTACATATTTCATGTTGTTAATAGCATGTTATTTAAACAATAATATTACACTAACACACTCGAAAAGACTATAACAATTGTCTTGTACGTGATATGTAGCGTTTTATTCAGTTAGTATAAACATTGTAAATAGACATTTTCCAGAGGCTGTTTCGAAATAAGTGATTCCTGAAAGTTATATTTTTTAAACAGTCTTGAAAAACCACCAAATATTAGGTTTATTAGTGCATAACACTACTTTTAGTCACTAACTTTATTAAAGTCCTGTTGTTAAAATCTTATTAATTGTTTGTATATATATGCATAATATATTAACAACACAGTTCCTTACAAAAAAAAAGGTTTAGGAGGCGGAGGTGGAAATGAAGATTTGTGTCTGTCAACATTTATACGAAAGAACGATTTCGGTTATATATTTCAAAAGCAAAGGGCTTACTGTCTGGTACTATGATTTTCTTAATAAAAGGCCACCTCTAGGTAAATTTGGTGAATTTTTCTTGTACTAAATCGAATTTCAGTTTTTATAAAATAAACTGAAATACGATTTTTTTCATGTTGGATGTGGATTATATTCCTTAAAATTCTCTTATTTTGAAAATAAACCAATTCTTGAACAGAAATTGTTAAAATAAAATTCAATATAAAGGAGGTATGTAAATAATTGAGCTGAAATCAATTTTGTAAATATGGATAAATATGTTTTATATCAAATTCGCTGAAGAAAAAATTATAAAAGAAACGATTTATTTTCAAAACAAATACCAAACATGTAGAAAAATTGCAAAAAGTGATTCAGTTTGCCTATCAGTAGTGGCCTTTTATTATTTTCTTTACTTTTTGTTAGCACAAAGATTTATTTTCATGATACCATGAAAGAAAACAATGATAATCGTTTCATAAACTGTGTAATAACATGTGTTAAATGTTTAGGCGCAATAAGTAAATGTGAATAACAATTATGAATATGCATTTAATTTAGTTTTACAAATTATTATACACTGTAGTGAGCATATATCCATACATATGTGTTTGGAAAGCCATAGTACAATATATTTAAAAGGTGCATTGCCGAATTGCGATATTCATTTACTAGAGTCGATAAGAGTTTGAAAATGCCCCCTCCACAAAAACAGCGAATTTAATAAGTTCCCTAAATCTTCTGCTAAATTTTTTGTTGTTTCTTATATTCTAATAATTCATACCATTAAGATCATTCCATTGGTTGTAGATTCTTTAAATGGCAGAATAAAAAAAATGACTAAATTTGCCCACCAAAATAATTTTGTTTAATGTTATAATTATAGTATGTGTAAAGAATCATAAAAAAATGTTTTTTAGAAAAATTTATTGAACTTACTGTTATAAGGGCCATTTTCATACTTTTATTGATCCTGGTCATTTAAAGGATCTCACAGCTTATAATTTTTTTCTCAATTGAAAATATTAGCTACAGTTAAGCATTTTCTAGGTAAATTTTCTATACATGAAATAATAAGCTTTATAGTATCATAAATAAAAATAGTTAAATTGTTTCCTTGTTCTTTTGATTGTTATATTAATCACATCACTACCAAGATTGAAATGGTACTGTTTTTATACAGACAATTTGTCAATACTCTTTGTACTTGTGTGGTAAAAATAAATATGACTGCCTAATAGACTTATTTTTATTTATTATAAGCTATTTAATTGTTTCAACAAGCTAAGATTTCTCTAAATACACTATGTACATTAATAAATATGCATCATTTTGTTTTTGGTGGTGAAGGTATCACAAACAAAAACGAATGCATTTCAGATCAGTAAGGACTCTTTTACTACATTTTTGTGTTTTGCCTCAAAAAAGCATCTATATATTGTGATTTAATTGCTTCTCTATCCTGTGGATCGGGCAGATAAGGTTTAATGCCATTCTTTCGCCTATCAGTTTTTATAAAACCCTTGAATAATTGCAATAATTAAGGTTGTTATCATTTTTAAAATTTATCCTTTCAACTGAACATGAGAGGAGAGAATACACTTACCCAAAACTTTTTACAAAGGTTATAGTTTTCGATTTGTAATTCACACTTATCTTTATCGTAACCATTATCACTTAAACATTTATAAGATATGTTTGCTTCTTTTAAGCAAGGATTGTATTTTTCTTGATCATATTTCTTTTTCTGCATATTTTAGGTTATCATCTTATCTATGTTATCATCATCATATGAAATTTTTGATAAAATCTATGGATAAAATCTAACAATGAGTAGTGTTTATATAGACAAAATAATATTAGTTTATTTTAAATTTTTCAGGCTTTAAATTTCTAGATTTATTCAATTCTATTATCTACATAAATCTTAATTATGGCATTTTTTTCAGTCAATCAAGTAAAATAATGTATATATA